AAAAAAAATAAGAGAACCTGGGAGAAGCCTGGTATGATGATGGCTCACACCTGTATTCCTACCACTCAGGAGGCAGATGCAGGAACATCAAAATCACAAACCACTGTAACCCCAGTCCCAGGAGATCTGATGCCCTCTTCCGACCCTGTAGGCACTAGGCATGCATGGGGTACACAGACATGCATGCAGGCAAATCACCCATACACATTTAATTGGCTAATTAAATTAAAAGTTCAAAGTCATCTTTGCTTAAGTAGTTAGTTCAAGGTCATCCTGGGCTATGTGAGATCATGGCTCAAACAAACCCAATAAGCAAACAGGAAGGAAGCAGTGGAGAGAAGGAGAGAAAGTGAACCACAACTGGAACATTCTATAACAAAGGGACCCTGCATAGCCCTCTGACTTAAAGACAAGCCACAACCTTCGTGGAGGGGACAGCATCCCAGTGCAGCCAAGTTCTGACATCAGACTGTCTGATTCCAGGCCACTGCTCTCTCAAAACATGTCTGCTGAGGCGTCAGCCCGGCATCTTGATGGAAGGAGCCGAGATCCACCCATGCCACTCCCTCCGACGATGCCGGCAAGAGGCTCGCTCCTCTGTTCAAAGTCTGGCCTTCTCTGAATTCCATGATACCATCCATCATTTATGTCCCACTGGGCAGCCTGCTCAGGTTTCTTGGAGTTTCTGGGTAGAGTGATGCTACTTAATACCATACTCCCCTCCCCCATTCTAGCTGGTTTTGTGTGCCAACTTGACACAAGCTAGAGTCATCAGAGAGGAAGGAGCCTCAGTTGAGGAAATGCCTCCATGAGACCCACCTGTAAGGCATTTTCTTAATTAGTGATCAGTGCGGGAGGGCCCAGTCCGTGGTGGGTGGTGTCATCCCTGGTCCTGGGTTCTATAAGAAAGCAGGCTGAGCAAGCCACGTGGAGCAAGCCAGTAAGCAGCACCCCTCCATGGTTTCTGCATCAGCTCCTGCCTCCAGGTTCCTGCTCTGTTTGAGTTCCTGTCCTGACTTCCTTCAGTGATGAACAGCAAATATGGAAGTGTAAGTCAAATAAACCCTTTCCTCCTCAACTTGCTTTTTGGTCGTGGTGTCCCTTCTCAGCAATAGAAACCCTAACTAAGACACCCCTCAAACACACGCACAGGCACACACACAGGTGCACACACTTTTGTTCACGAATTCCATGGTAAAGAAAAGTAGCTTGATGAGAGTGGACAGAGGGGCCCTCAGAGACTCAGGGGACATGGATGCGTCAGTCCATAACAGAGTGCATGTTACATGGGGCCCCTGCTGCCCCAGGGATCAACTGTCAGCTGGACTTGTCCTCTCGGTCTCCACTTGGTCATGCTCTGTAATCAACCCTGGTGACTGTAACAGGCTCCACCTGGCAGGATCCTGGGAGTGTGAATGAGGTAATACTCCCGCTTGACGCTGGGAAGTACTCACTGAAACAACCACAGTAATAAGGGCAGGACCGGTTGACCGTGTACTATACATTAGACACTGGGGGGGGGGGCGCGGGGCGTGTCTGTGTGTATTGCCCATTGAAGATTTTTATCTCCCCCTTGCACCAGGCACTGAGGACAACAAAATAAACAAGACCATTAAACTGTTGGATGACCCTGGGTGGCCCAGTGTCCGAGTCTAGTCCCTCTACACAGCCCAGGCTGGCCTCACACTTGCCATCCTCCTGCCTCAGCTGTGTGAGTAGCTGGGATCCTGGCCCTGCACCATGAGACTTGGCTCCAATGCCTGCTTTTTTCTTTGAGCCCACTTGTCTTTATCAAGCCCCGGGTTTCCTGCAAATGAACAAAGCGCGTTTTCTGACCAACCCGACGCTCACTTGTTCCTCCATGTCGTCTTTAGTCTATCGCCCGTCCGCTGGCCTGGTCATCCCCTCATCCATGTTGTCAGTTACTGAGTCCCACCAGCCATCTCTCCACTGCACACTTGCCCACTCACTCCTGTCTCTCCATCAGTCCCATCTCCCACACTGCCCCTCTCCCACACTGCCCCTCTCCCACACTGCCC